GAAGCAGTGCGTCGGTGCGCGCCCGGGATCCGAACCCGGGCCGCCAGCAGCGGAGCGCGCGCACTTAACCGCTAAGCCACGGGGCCGGCCCTGTGAATACATTTTTAAAGGAGGAAAAAAAGCCCCTCCAGTGTAGGCCTTATGTGCTTCAGCTCTAAGTTAAGACCCACTGGGTGCAGTCCAGGGTGGAGGGAAGTGAAGTCTGACGCCAGGACCCTCAGCATCCTAGGTCCGCTCCGCCTCCTCACTCAGCTGCACTCTGAGCTCCTGACACCCAGCCACAGAGTTCAAGTCTAGAGACAACCCCAGCTGAGATGCCAGGCAGGAGCAGGGAGCACTGCAGGAGACTAAACATTCCTGGTTTCATGCAGCATGCATATGCGCCTGCAAACAGGTGGGGCTCTTGTGGGGTGTGAGGGCATAAACAGTGCTACGGGGACAGTCTGTGACAGGCACGGAAGACAAGTTGGCAGCCTGGCTGCCAGGGTACCTAGCAGGGTACGGGTACCTAGCCTGTACAGAGGCTCTCTAAGGCTGGCTCTAAGTGTTGGAAAGTTGTGGGGTTTTTTTGTTTTTTGTTTTTGTGAGGAAGACTGACCCTGAGCTAACATCTGTGTCAATCCTCCTCTATTCTGTATGTGGGATGTCACCACTGCATGACTTGACGGGTGGTGTGTAGATCCGCGCCCAGGATACGAACCCATGAACCCCGGGCCACTGAAGCAGAGCACATGAACTTAACCACTATGCCACCAGGCTGGAAAGTTCTTTTGTTTTTGCTGAGGAAGTTTGGCCCTGAGCTAACATCTGTGCCCATCCTCCTCTATTTTGTATGTGGGACGCCACCACAGCGTGGCTTGATGAGCGACGTGTAGGTCCGTGCCCAGGATCCGAACCTGCAAACACTGGGCCACCGAAGCAGAATGTGCAGACTTAACCACTATGCCACTGGGGCAATCCCCAGAAAGTTCTTGATGTTGAGCCAAAGCTGGCCTGTTGTCATGTCCCTTGGAGTCATAGATTAGAGCTAATCATTTGAAGATGGCAGCCTCAACACCTGGGAGTCCCTAATAAGGGAACACGGGGTCCCCTGAGTTAATGTGGGAAGTTCAGTCTTGGTCGACAAGGCAGTCTGGGGTGGAGCAGACGCTGCATTAGGCTGGCACCAGACCTAGAAAGTCAGTCTCCTGGGACTTGAGCCCCTTCAACTGAGAAACGAGGGGAGTGGGTGGGATCACAGGGGAGAGGGTCTAAACTTTCTAGAAAGGCAGCTAGCTCATCCTCAGTCCTGGGAAGAGGGTTGGTGTTAACAATTCTCTGACAGAGATAAGAGGTCAGGTTAAGTGTGATTAAGCTGAGATCTGTTAACTAGGATTTCATTCTTGAGCAGTCCTGGGTGGGAAGACCTGGCAGTTAGGTTTCCTGATCTGGCTCGGCCTTGCCCAGGTTCAGAGTGTCAGCAGTGAGTCCTATTTGCCCAGTGCCTCAGTGTCCTTCCTACATCAGTTTTAGGAGAGTATATTTGTTTGAAGTCCAGCTCTTTCTGATGATATTTTCATCCATGAAAATATGGGGTATTGGGCCAGCCCAGTGGCTCAAGCGGTTGAGTGCACAAGCTCTGCTGTGGCGGCCCCGGGGTTCGCCGGTTTGGATCCCGGGCGCGCACC